CAAGTTTGTATCCTGAGATTCGCCAAATCTTTTATCATTATGATAATATAAGCATTAAATTATGAAATGAAAAAAAATGAACACCGACTCACCAGTGCCGGTGAAGAATGAACGTGGAGTCGCGTCGGGGACCTCGGCTTCTTCGGCTGGTCCACGCCCACCTCTTCATGGAATATGGAATAAATCGATTATTTTTCTTACTATGCTTACAAGATTCATCCACTGAGAGGTGAACACTTACTCGGCGGCTTTTTTCAGAATATCATTCACTAATGAATTCGAAGGCTTTGGTGATTTTGCGTTTGGATTTTGTGTGAAAATTCCACTGAGTGTGTTTTAATTTCAAAACATGTCAAATCCATAACTTGTAACATTTCAATTCTTGAAATATATAAATAATCACGCACGACTTTTCACCACCAGCAAAAAGGTTTTCGCGTTCTTCCTCTTCCTCCTCTTCAGATACTTCGTTGTCTAAGTCGCGTATAGTTGCAACTCGAGACCTAGGAGAACTTGTTTGTTTCATAAATACATTAGGGCACAATCAAAGGTGAATAAAAGGGAAATTCTTTTGAAATTTTTTTTACTCGCTCACCTCTTCTGTTTAGAAGATCCGGAGGTAGCATTAGAAGGAACGGGATCTTGCGTTCCTTGGAACGGGCCAGATTCCGTGGTTTCTTGTTCCACGTCGCCCATTGGTTCCTCAATGTAATTACTCAGAGCTTCCTGAAATAAACATAAAGCAGATTTAATGAAGTTGTAGGCAACTGATTACTCCATAAATTGTTAGAGTTGCGAGCGAGTACATTCAAATTCCAATTGTTGGCTTCCAGGTAGAATTGTGCTTGCTTTTCATCACAAGAAACCACGCCCATGAATTGTTTAAGCAATTCCGATCGATCCATTTTTGACAAGAATACTGGAGAATGAGCGGATAAACTCCATTTAATGCAATGCAATTTTATAGTCTTACGGTGTTACGTTATGCAATACGTAATCACGCCCAATTGAAAAAGTGTATCGACACGATTATTCCTAATAGATTTCTTATTTACCGAGAAAATGGTTATATACGCTTTTCACCTTTTCTACGCTGAATGAATGAATAACCTATTAATCTAATATCTGTAATTGATATAGGATCGTTTCAATCTTAACAGTCAGCTTGAACATTGTAAAAAAAATTTTTTTTTTTTACTACTTCTCACGCATCGTTCTGAATCAATGGTTTGAAAAACTTTAAAATTGACATTTTTTAGTGCAATCAAAGTACGTCGGAACTGGTCACGCGGATACGAATAAATTGTTTGTAATCATAAATCACTTTCGAAGTTCATTGATTTTCTATTTACACGCGAATAATGGGTTGTTTTTCCGAAAGTGAATGGCTGGTTAATCAACATCGTGACAGTTACGCATCGTATATCGGACACCACGCTTTGATATCATATTTTTCGGTCGCGCAGAATGAAAGTATTGCAAGAGTTAAATTCGAATTTGTGGAGGTAAGTTTTTTGGTTTATTGTGAATTCTAATTGTCAATACGAGTGACAGGATTTATATATTTTTCCTTTCCTTGCGAAAGAAAATGCTACAACCTTGCGGAATGCCTGTCCCCAGAGATGAATGATTTTAAAGTTTTGGATAATGCGTGGCAGAACTTGAACAGGAATAAATTTGCATAATTCGAGTTTGCCGTTTTGTGATCTGAGGCAATAACTGACCGAATTTATTTGATTGAGAAAAAAATATATTTTTCACCAGAGTAAATGACGTCCTTCAAAATCTTCAATAAATATGCAAATTCTCATGTGACCACAACTTAAACGTTCGATCAAAACCAGAGGAAGCAATGAATCTGTTATCTGTTAAAGGAAAATTTGAATATAGACAGTATTTTAATAAAACTTCAACACATTGACCATCAAATCGATGAAAGATTTTTATCGCAAAAATACATGCCTGAGGAAACGTCGATCGACATTACTTTACCATCATGCCCTGCCAATTTCTTCAGCAAATTCCAATCATCACAGGACCAAATATTTACAAAACCATCGTATCCACAAGTAACCATGTATAATCCGGAAATTGTTGGTCTGATGCCATTGTCCCATTCTTCGCTGACCAATGTCGAGGAACCATGAAAGAACCTCACATCCGATACGAGCGATTTGTGTGCAGCAATCGTATAACTACAACGTAAAGTTCGGATATCCCAAATTCGCACCGAATTATCGGCACTTCCTGTAGCCACTTGATATCTGTTTATAAATCAAGGAACTATTACTATTATTGTTAATATTACTTATGATGAACTAGTTGTTTACAATACCCGTTTGGTGAAAAGTCAACAGCTAGAATGTCTTTAACGTGGCCTTCTAACACCATCGCAGAACGACCTGTTCTTAGATCCCAGACACGTCCGATGGCATCTAACCCCCTATTTCGTTAAAATCAAATCTTAAGTGAAGCTAACCGTTGAAGCATTTTTTGGCATGTGTTCACATACCCTGTGGCAACTAAAGCACCATCGTTTTGAAATCGAATAGCATAGACTTCTCTAGAATGACCTTCTTGTAAAAGAAGCTCTTTTGTTGTTTCGATGTCCCACAAACGCCAAGAGTAGTCATAACTATGTAGAGGGAAAATTAGTGGTGGGAAGTTCAGATTCATGAATTTATTAAAAAATACCTTGCCGACCCAAGGAATCTTCCAGAAGGATGAAAATCAATTCTTGAGATTCTCGAGGTATGACCTCTTAATGAACTTATAGGTGCATCGCTTTCCAGGGACCAGAGATAAATCAAACCATCCGTAGATCCGGATGCTAAATTTACGACATTCTTGTCGATAGAGAGAGTGGACTGTGGATGCCAGGCGAGTCCACCGACGTGATCAGCGTGTCCTATAATTCGGAAAGCCTATAATTATCATAATGGAAGAGAACGCTCACGGATGCTCCCTTATAATTAAAAACCCTCTGACTCTGATAAATAATCAAACCAACAAAAACCTTTTAATGTGATCATCGGCTCACAACTTGGTACATTCCATATTCGACATAATCCGGACCATGAACTGGTAGCGATGAGGTTGCAATCCGGAGAAAAGGAGCATTGCGATATTGGTCGATCATCGCCAATTTGAGAACTAAAAT